CTCGTGTGATACACTTTCTATTTAATAAATAAGTAGGTACTATTTAGGTTTCATTACTATATGGCAATATAACCGGGTGGTGTAAAACCACGTCTCCCCCTTTTAATTTGTTTGTTCATAAGAGGTTGGTCTAATCAGGAAGGAATAGAAGAAACAGGCTTAGTTAACGAAAGCGTGGTTCAGAGAAATGAACACAAAAGTGATCTTGAAAAGTACGATCCTGGCAAATTAATGAAACCAGATGTAAAACACGATATCTAGTCAAGTTTGAGTTAGGTTAGGGAGAGAACAAAATTGTTTAAAGACAGAGTTGTGAATCAGTTAGAGAAACATGACAGTCAGAATTAGGTAAGAGAACAAAATTTGCCTGTTGAAAGCGACTGTTCCTCTCAGCTGCAATTGTGCAGCCATCCCCATGGATCGCTATTTCTTCTTTTAACTTTGCCGGAAAAACGTAAGTCTCCGATGGAAACGATATTCTTCGGATCATGCATGAATGGGTGGATGTATTCGACCGATAAGAAAAGAGGCTAGATGATCTAGTTTTCTAAACAGAAAGATTGAGCGTAATTAAAGATGAAGCGGTCAGAAAAAATACATAAAATAATTTGAACAATTATAATTTTTATAATTTTAAAGGTTTAGGGGGAGATGGGCGAAGTAGTCCGGTTTATACATTGATGTAACGATGGCCAAAGTGAGGAAAGTGGGTGTACAAATTTCTTCTGAACACACAGGTTTGGCTTGTTCTCCAGGTGGATTCCTATTGCTTCAGTTGTAGATATGTAGAAGACGAACTTGTAGAGCAAAATTAAGATCAGTGGAAATACGATAAATAATTTTAATGGCAGTATTGACGTCAACCTTATGTTCACTATCTACAAGGTGTGCTACAATAGAGCTACGAACAAGTATTATTTGTTCCTTGCTTAACCATGTTGGATGATGTTCAGAAATATGATGATGAACCTGCCTAATTGTACGCCCGATGTATCTGGCTCCACAGCTGCAGTCAAACTGGTAAATACACATAGAAGAGGCAAATTTAGATAGTTTATCCTTATTTCTCAAACGTAGATTATGGGGGTGGTTGTGAAGAGACAACGTACCTCTACTGCATAATAGGCTCTTTTAACTGGATTCCTCAGGTGCTGTGTTATTATTTCGCCGATGTTGTCAGCGAGAGAACTGCAGTTTTATGAACAGTGGTTTTTTCAGAACTGTTGCCATACTGACTCTCCTAGATGCTGCTGAATTCATATTTTTCTCAGCGAACTTATCAGGATAACCATTTTTTCTAAGTAATTCTCTAATAATCTTAAGCTCCTCATTGAGGCTTGTGGATGATGTATGTTTAATGCCACGTAAACTTGAAGACTTACTAGCGAAAACCAACGCACAAACAGAAGAGGCAGGCAGGCAGGCAGAGAAGACAGGACTCCAGGTGAACACATAGAAAAAGATGGAGGTGATAAAAATTACCGACGAACCCACCAACCAGCATCAGGAATCATTAACAGAAGGAAGAGGATGAAAGAGGTTGTGTCTCCTTCACTTATCTAGTTACGAAGCATCGATTCAATTACAAATGGAATCGATAAATATGTCAAAGCAAGCCAGTATCCGAAAGGTAAGGTTCACCTCCATCAATCTGAAGCCAGTTTGGAAGTATTCTGTACTCAGCCAACATAAAGAAGAAGAAGAAGAAGAAATGGATTTTCAGTACCAATATCAGAAACGTTCACTACGCGTTTATTAAAGACCACTTCCACCAGGCTAGTACAAACTTTTTTGTGTCAACAACTGCGCGCTTCACTGGCTCAATATTGAGAAGAATACATGGCCAGCCAGAAAGAATAAGTAATAAGAATCTTCAGGAACCAACCAACCAACCAACCAAGAAACAATCTCTCAACAAACATGTAGGAGAGAAAATGGAGATGAATTGGGCATACACGGGAGAGACCACCGAATGGTATGGCGCACTAGACCATCACTCGAGTGGAACCAGAATGTGAAACAACGAGTTAGCTTGATTCTAGGATGATATGGAAGAAGTGAGAGACTATGGGCACTCGTGGGCCCAGCTGAAGGTGGCAACAGCAAGTAGAACAAAGTGAAGACGTGCTGCTTAAGGCGTATGATCCATTCAGAATCCAAGGGAACAATACTAATGCATTTTTTTTTCCTTCACGTTCCCAGTGGAACATAAGGCCTCAAGCTAGTAGTGGCTTGAAGTTTCTGTAGCAATGGTGATTATTTTTGCAGGATGGGGTTGTTAGCCTCATGCGCAACCTTTCTTCTTTATAAGCATTATTTCTGGCTTAGCAAGGTAAAAGAGTGCATCGGCCAGGGAATGAACACCGGATCATTAGCACGGTCGTCGAGCGTCCTGGGATATATGATAAACGCCTAAAAGTGTAAAATCCCTTCCTATTTTCACGCTTATCAAAATAAAATATTGATTTTCTTAAGACATAAAGCCAAAACTAAAGATTGTGACACACGGACCAGCAACAGTCAGTTACAGAATCAATGAAAATTAAGGACTACTGAACAGCTGTTTATTCCTAACCCTGTGTTGTAACGGAGATTTCGTATCGCTTCAACACTCGTTAGCATAATTAACAACGTGACATCATTGACTGGTGGTTGGGCAGAAGTTTTAATTCACGTACAGCTGGGTTGGGTCATAGTAGCTTAGTGGTCTACAAGCTCGCCTTATAACCAAAAAGTCCTGGGTTTGATCCATGGTGAGTGTGTGCTGATGAAGAGCCTCAAACTAGGACGAAACAACTGTGCAGTACTTCTAGCTGGTTTTCCATTGGCCCTATAACTAATATCATCTCCTGGGCAATTCTGTAACCAATTGAAGCCCTGAAAACCAACGCCCAATAATTAAATAAGGCTGAATAAATATTTGATCGGATCTTGGATAGACGCCAATAACTCATTTATTCGATGAATGATTATTAAGATTTAGTTTCCAGGGATTCATTTAATGTCAAGTTACATCACAAAATAGGGCGACTTAGGACTCTGCAAGAACTGGCGAGGAATCATGCTCCTATCGACGCCAAGTAAAATCCTGAGTCGCACCATCCTGGAGAGGTTAAAGGACGCACTGGAGACAGAACTCCGACCAGAACAGGCTGGATTCAGGAAAGGCAAATCATGTACTGACCAAACTGCAACTCTACGCATCATCATCGAACAAAGCATGGAATGGCAATCAAACCTCTACCTCAACTTTATAGACTTTGAGAAGGCCTTCGACAGCGTTGATCGTGAAGTAATTTGGAAATTACTCGAGTATTACGGCGTGCAGCGCCCAAATATTCATCAACCTTATTCAACAGCTGTACGACAACGGCACCTGCCAAGTGATCCACAACGGAAGACTCAGCGAGGCGTTTGGAGTAAACACAGGAGTCAGACAAGGGTGCTTACTATCACCAATGATATTCCTAATTGTGGTGGACTGGATTATGCGTCAGACTGTGGGAAACGTGAAGACAGGAATATCCTGGACCGACGTGAAGAACCTAGAAGACCTGGATTTCGCGGATGATTCATGTTTGATGTCACTGTCACAAAATCGAAGACTTACAAGCGAAAACCGACAAACTGGTCGAAGAAGCAGCCGGCGAAGACAGGACTCCAGGTAAACATAGACAAGACGGAAGTTTTGAAAATAACCAACCAACAACAGCAACAACATCCAACGTCAATCACCATCAACGGGAGGGATTTGAAAGAGGCTACTTCACTCACTTATCTAAAGAGCATTGTCTCAAACACAGTCGGAACGGACGAGGATGTCAAATCGCGAGAATCGGGAAGGCGAGAAACACATTCATCTACCTGAAATCAATCTGGAAATCTTCGTCACTAAGCATCAACAACAAAATTCGGATTTTCAATACAAACGTCAAGTCAGTTCTTCTATACGGATCAGAAACTTGGCGGGTCACAAAGAATATTTCCAAAAGGTTGCAGACCTTTATTAACAACTGTCTTCGTTAAATACTGAAGATCAGATGGCCGGAAAGAATCACCAACAAGGAATTATGGGAACAAACAAAGCAAGAACCAATCGCCCAACAAATATGCAGGAGAAAGTGGAGATGGATCGGACACTCGCTGAGGAGACCGCTGGGTGATATCGCGCGCCAAGCCCTCGAGTGGAACCCGAAAGGGAAGTGGCGTGTGAGACGTCCAAGGGTGACATGGAGGAGATCGTGTGAAGAGGAGTTGAAAGAAATGGATTAACATGGATGCAGGCGAAAAGTATAGCAGAAGACAGAAGAAAATGAAGACGTGCAGTTGAAGCCGTATGTTCCACTAGGAACCGAAAGGAGCAATAATAAAAATAATAATAATAATACATCACAAAATGGCAGCAATTACAGAAGCATCAGAGATTACTGGATAACTGCTTTGTCTTATTTTGCAGCTCCTCAATACTGCCCATCAATGACTACACTCACAAGGAATCGAACCCAGGACGTTTAGGTTACAAGACTAGTGTGTTGACTGTTTTTAGCTAAGGGATTAAAAGGACTATGATCCATGAATTTTATTGTGTTTATCACATCGATTCGTGGTTTTTAGAAGTCATCACTCCAAATACCTTAGTGGTTACGTCTCCAGTCGTATTACTGGATTCTGCGGATTCGAAACTTATTATTGAAAATTTATTCATTGTTCATCAGTGACTGAGGATCTAAAGGTCCTCAGTTCGACCCCCGGTAGGCATAAGAAGTGAGTAGTGTTGTTTCTTTTTAGGTTAAGAACTTATCAAACGTAAGCATGCGTGAGGGACGAACTCAGAACCTCCATAGGAAACAAACTCAAAATCAATTAAAGAAAAAAGAAAAATCAATAATGTTACACATGTGAAATAAAACAAAAAAAAATACAAAAATTCTATTTTCTTTGCAATTGTACATTAAAACGATTAAGACAGATGCACGTCTGTCTGGCTGTGTGTGCATTACCTGTGAGTAGTTCACGATGTGATGTAAAGTACAGCTCTACACAACCAGTCGATGGGAATAAGGCTTCTGTAAAGAAAAGAGAAATCGGTAAAATAAAATAAAATAATACTTTGAAATTTTACAGTTCAGCTTTTATTCGAATATTTTATAAAATTTATGACATTAAGCTTGTTAAAATCATTTTGATTTTTAGCGGTTGATTTGAAAGGATTAGATTTGCTTTTACGAGTTGATCACAGATTGATTTCAGTTAGAGAACCATTGAAAACCACCACCAGGAAGTACTGGACAGACAGCTGTTTCATCCCACTAGTTTGGGAATCATCAGCGGTACGCAGCTCTCCAACTGATATCAGTCCATGGTCAGAGTCGTATAAGCAAATCTAATTCTTACAAAGTGAATTGGTACAGGATGGAGTTCCCTGAAGTTCTAGTGAGAAGTCGTGACCAATGAGGTCCATTCAATCAAGTAATAAGGATGGATGTCCCACCGATGACATTGGTTGGCGGCTGCGCTAAATCACAAAATGATAGTGGTTAGAATTCATGAACTAACTGGCCAGCGGCTGAATGGTAAACGAGCTTGCCTTGTAACCGGATAGGGCCCGGGGTTCGATCCTCTACCGACGCATACCCGATATCAAAATTTTAGGCTACCGATATCCATACAATCGGTGGATGGTGGCTAGCAGTGGAATCCAGGATGCGCATTTCGTCCTATTTGGGACTCGTCAACTGGATGTACCTGCATTTCTCAGTGAGTGATGATGTTCCCACTGAGGCTCGAACCCAGTACCCATAGTTTCAAACGCCAAAGCGTTATCCACTAGACCACTTGGGCCACTGAGAAATGCAGGTACATCCAGTTGACGAGTCCCAAATAGGACGAAATGCGCATACTGGATTCCACTGCTAGCCACCATCCACCAATTGTATACTAATTAAATGCCCAGACATCATCGAAGCATCTGCACAAGAAGCCGACATGTCAACCTGAGACCGAGCACTTCGGTCCAATCAATCGACGGGAAAATCAAAAATTCAATTCAACTACCGATATCCATGCTGAAAATTCCATACTTGTACCAAAAATACGGTGTGGAATCAAGCTGTAATCAAAATGTACAAAAAAAATAATTTCGAACTCTGACGATGGGTGCATGTACTCCCGATGATTCTCAATCTACTAGTGTGGTGAGAGCTGGCTGCTAGCCAAAATTAGTAGACAGTAATTTACGTCAATGTTTATGTTCCCACTATTGGTCATGAGAAAATTAAGAACAAAAACTAATTCGACAACCAACCACAGGAGACTTTCCGTAGGCGGATACAATTTGCAGATAGATAATCTGAACTTCAAGAAACCGACACAACGAGATGAAAGATTAACTCTCATTGAGAAACCACGATCCAGAAGACTATGTTTGTTTGCTTACAATAATCTATAATAATGTACATGAGAAAATCTATAAATATGTGTTGTTTTTGTGAATAAACGATCTGTTGCCTGGCCCTTGTCTTCGGTTGTTACACTAGGATGAAACAGCTGTCCAGTACTCCTGGCTAGTTCTCAATGCTTCTCCAACTGATATCACTCCGTGGTGAAAGTCATAAAACCACTTTGAATAATTATATTACAGACAATTGGATGACTACCTCTCATTGTGTTTCATTCTACCGACATGTCAATGTTATAATGAATAGTTTACAATGCATCTTTATATTGACCACAACAGAGAAACATCGCGGAGGCTAGGGAGTACTCAAAAGTCGTTTTTGATCTATATTTAGAACTCTTCGGCAAAACGCGCATATGACAGACGCCTCAGCACTTTCAAGCTACAAGACAAGCTCGTACATTATCAAGCTACTAGGATGAAGTTTAATGGCTATTCACACCAATAACTGAAAAAAAAATCCAGAGATCATGAGTGACTGACTATAAAGTGAAATTGCTTTCCTAAAGTGATAGTGAGAAGTTCAGACCACCATCGTGGTGTTAGCACGCATACTGGCTAAGAGTATTAACTGATCGGTGGTGGCTTTTGGATTCAGTCATATGAAATGAATGGTCACTAGGCTAGCTACTGTCACCTTTAGGAGGATACTTTGGGATAGGGTAGAATTAATAAAAAATAGTTATGTATTTTGGTGTAGAGACAGGTTAACACGAAACACGTACAATCAAGCTAACCCGAATTTATGAGGAATTGCGTTAAAACAGAAACACAGGGAGTAAGACTCTATAAGGTGAAAATACACTCATATAATGGTGATGAGCGACAAATTGTGCTCAAAACGTCATCCAGTCACTGATTGTGAGTCATTTCAAACAAACTTATCTAGTATTGTAACAACAGAAGACAAGGGCCAGGAAATATATCGTTTATTAAGGAAATAAACACATATTTTTAGATTTCCATGTACATATTATAGATAATTGTTATCACAAAAACACAGACTTCTGATTCATGGTTTCTCACTGAGAGTTAATCTTTCATCTCTTTGTGGCCGTTCATTGAAGCTCAGATTATCTATCTGCAAATTGTATCCGCCTATGGAAAGTCTTCTGTGGTTGGTTGTTGAATCAGTCTTTGTTATTATTTTTATCACAACCAATATTGAGAACGTAAACACTGACGTAAATTACTGTCTACTAATTTTGGCTAGCAGCCAGCTCTCACCACACTCGTTCCCACGTCAAAGACTTTCGACTGAAGTTGGTTCGGTATTCTTCGTTCTAGAGGCTTTCTTCGTTTGTCTTGCTGTCTGGAATCTCGGCGATTGCTGATATTCACCTGTTTCTCTTTGTTCACCATTGCGATTGTGTCTGCGTAACCCCATCATCTCAAAGTGACCATATGTGGTCCTTCCCACTTTGGAAACTGTTTGACTGATCCTGTCAAACATTCGTTGGTATTTCACCTGACACTTTCATATGCTGCTTTCGCCCGAACTACCAGGAGGGTGTAATGGATTTTGGAAGAGAATGGATAGGCGCCACTGAGAACGATTTTTGAGTTATATCACCAATAGTGTCGAATCGTTTGGTTCCCAACCCGACTCAAAGACCCCAACTATTACTATTACTGTTCTTCTGTGTTCTGAGTGGAACATAGGCCTACAACAACACATCTCTACTCTGTTCTATTTTCTGCCATCCTCTTCAGTTGGGTCCACGATTGACCATGATCGCTCATCTTCTATTCCCTGTCATCACACGATCTCCTCAATGTCACCTTCGCACTGACGATCCACTTGTCACTTCTCATTCGGATTCCTTGACGAGTAATGGTCTGCATCGTGCACAGCATCACATTCCACGGCCACCTCAGCGGCGTTCGCACAATCAAATCATCTCCATTTTCGCCAACATATTTGTTAAGCCATCAACTCTTGCCTGTTGGTTTGTTGCCAGACACAGAGTTACTTGTGACTTATTCTTTCGCACCACTTGATCTTGAGTAAGGATCCAGCCAGCGAAGTGGGCAGCTCTGATGATGAAAGTCTGAAACAGGCTGTTGGAAAGCTTTTTAGTGACATACACGCATGTCAAGCGCCTAACCAATCACTCCTTAAAACACACAAAATTGACTAACTGACAGATTCTGCATTTCTGACTTTATCTAGGGACTTCTATTGATGTTCAAAGTCAACGATTTTTTGTTGTTGCAGTAATGATAGAAAAATGAGCCGTATTCTTCCTGTGTTGTGTCACATGCCATCAAAAGAAAATGAAGTAATAATAATAATATGAACACACAAAGAGAGCCACGCAAATCTAATTTGATTTTCAACGATTCATTTAGGTAATGAACATAAAAAATTGTCTGTGTATGTATGTATGTGTGTGTGTGTGTGCGTATGATGGAAAACGCATGTGTTTTTGACTTGTCTAAAAAATGTATTTTTTTTCAAGAGATTTGACTTTACTTGCTATCTGGGTGTTAAATAATCGGCTTTCTAACAAGGCGTAATGCTGTCAAGTTGTAATTGACTTAATTCAACCTGGTTACTGGGACATCTCTCTCTCTCCGTCGTGATACACACAATAAGTGTATCATACAACCTACTAAAAGCTCGCCAGAAAAGATGAGCAATAGGGATCTCTGGCAATAAGCGGACCAACTCAGCAGGAACCGATTGTGCAACATATAAGCAGGGAAGAATGGAGGCGGATCGGCTATACTCTGAGAAAACAAACCTTCATCAAGTGAGTGACATCACACGCCAGGAAACCACTCAAGTGAAACCTGAATGGGAACCGGTGAGTTAGTTGGTCGTCAGCGCAAGGGTAACATGGAGGAGGATGTCATGCGAAGAGGAGATGAAAGCATGTGGGCAGATGCAGGGCCAGGAGAAAACGTTTGTTGAGAACCGTACGCAATGAAGAAGTGTGACTGAAGTCTTACATTCCTCCAGTAACTAAAGGAAATAATAATAATAAGTTTTCCATCCGATTTCAAGTCCTGGTAAGGAGGAAGGGTTTGGCGGGGTGGGGGCTAGTGACTCTACCCTATAAACCAATCAGACTGCTCCAAAAACTCCTAAGCACAAGAAGAATATAAAAAATACAAAAAAATGTATTATTATTATATTAATTCCTAGAGGAACATAGGGCTACAGCCGCGCGTCTGCATTGCGTTCAGTTCTCTGCTAAAGTTTTCACCTGGCTCTAAGTCTGCCAACATGCTTTCATCTCCTCTTCACATGACCTTCCTCAAGTCACCCTTGCACCAATTCGCCGACCCCCTTTCGGGTTCCACTCGAGCGATGGTCTGCTGTGTGATGTCACTTGATGGTCTCCTCAGAATATGGCCGATCCAATTCACCTCCATTTCTTCTTGCCTATTTGTTTCACAGTCGGTTCCTGTTGGGTTGGTTCGCTCATTGCCAGAGATCCCTGTTTCCGATCTTTTCTGGCCGACCATCTGATCTCGAGTACTATTGTCATCGACGACAGCTGTTGAGTAAATTCTGTAGTTCGTTTCAGGTGCTCTTTGTGACGTGGCGCTAAGTCTCTGATCCGTATAGTGAGTAGCACTGACTTCACATTGGAGTTGAAA